AACTTCCGTAATAACAGAACACCAGAAAGTAGAGAGAGATACCAGAGAACCAGGAACGAGTATGTTAGTGTGAGAAGAGCAGCTGAGAAAAGGTATGAAAATGATATAGTTAATAAAGCCAAGACCGAACCAAAGCTACTACACAGTCAAATCAGGAGGAAGACAACAGTGAAGAAACAGGTGATGAAACTTAGGGTGGGCGAGGACAGGTACACAGAGAATGACAAAAAGGTGTGTGAAGAACTCAACAAAAGGTTCCAAGAGGTCTTTACAATAGAACAGGGAGATGTCACGGCGCTAGGAGTGATGGCAGCAAATCAGGTGACCTTGGAAAGGTTCGAAATTACAAGAGATGAGGTCAAGAAGCACCTATTGGAGCTGGATGTGAGAAAAGCTGTTGGGCCGGACGGAATCTCACCATGGGTATTGAAAGAGTGTGCAGGAGCACTTTGCTTGCCACTCTCCATAGTGTATAGTAGGTCACTGGAAACGGGAGACCTACCAGAAATATGGAAGACTGCTAATGTAGTACCAATATACAAAAAGGGTAACAGACAAGAGGCACTGAACTACAGGCCAGTGTCCTTAACTTGTATACCATGCAAGGTGATGGAAAAGATTGTAAGAAAAAACCTAGTAACACATCTGGAGAGAAGAGACTTCGTGACAACCCATCAACATGGGTTCAGAGAGGGTAAATCTTGCCTTACAGGCTTGATAGAATTCTACGATCAGGTGACAAAGATTAAGTAAGAAAGAGAAGGATGGGCGGACTGCATTTTTTTGGAGTGTCGGAAAGCCTTTGACACAGTACCCCATAAAAGGTTGATGCATAAGCAGGAGAAACAGGCAGGAGTAACTGGTAGGGCGCTCCAGTGGATAAGGGAGTACCTAAGTAATAGGAAGCAGACAGTTACAGTGAGGGGTGAGACCTCAGAATGGCGTGAAGTCACCAGTGGAGTCCCACAGGGCTCTGTGCTTTGACCTATCCTGTTTCTGATATACGTAAATGATCTCCCAGAGGGTATAGACTCATTCCTCTCAATGTTTGCTGACGACGCCAAAATTATGAGAAGGATTAAGACAGAGGAGGACAGCTTGAGGCTTCAAGAAGACCTAGACAAGCTGCAGGAATGGTCGAACAAATGGCTGTTAGAGTTTAACCCAAGCAAATGTAATGTAATGAAGATAGGGGTAGGAAGCAGGAGACCAGTTACAAGGTATCATTTGGGAGATGAGATACTTCAAGAGTCAGAGAGAGAGAGAAAGACCTGGGGGTTGATATCACGCCAGACCTGTCCCCTGAAGCTCATATCAAGTGGATAACATCAGCAGCATATGTCAGGTTGGCTAACATAAGGACGGCCTTTAGAAACTTGTGTAAGGAATCTTTCAGAACATTATATACCACATATGTCAGACCAATCCTGGAGTATGCGGCTCCAACAAGGAATCCATATCTAGTCAAGCATAAGACTAAACTGGAAAAGGTTCAAAGGTTTGCCACCACACTAGTACCCGAGGTGAGAGGTATGAGCTACGAGGACAGACTTCAGGAATTAAACCTCACTTCGTTTGAAGACAGAAGAATTAGGGGGGACAGGATCACCACATTCAAGATTCTCACGGGAATCGACAGGGTAGATAAAGACAGGCTATTTAACACAAGGGGCACACGCACTAGGGGACACAGGTGGAAACTGAGTTCCCAAATGAGCCACAGAGATATTAGAAAGAACTTTTTTAGTGTCAGATTGGATGACAAATGGAATGCATTAGGAAGTGATGTGGTGGAGGCTGACTCCATACACAGTTTCAAGTGTAGATATGATAGAGCCCAATAGGCTCAGGAACCTGTACACCTGTTTATTGACGGTTGAGAGGCGGGACCAAAGAGCCAGAGCTCAACCCCTGCAAACACAACTAGGTGAGTACAACTAGGTGAGTACACACACACACACACTCACGGCGTTTTTCCTGATAAGGAACAAATGCGAGAGTGAACGTGAGCGCCGTCCTGCTGGCATGCCGATCGTTACAGAAAAATATACACCCTTGAGAATTTGCCCAGCTTCGCTCCCACCAAATTCAGCCCCCGTTTGTTTTGTTTCACGTTGCAGGCAGTTAGATATCTGAATTATTTAAGCGTCCGAAAAAGAGGTGCTGGTGGCAGGGAATTCCTCCCACCAGCTCGTCCTGCCTTTCAACCCAACGAACACTATAGCATTTTGGGAGGATCTGGAAGTGTTACTGGAAGATAATCCTCTCTTCCCTTGTCTCCCCACCAGGCAGCAGGGTCGCATGGTGGAGGCGGTGACGCTGCTGGAGGAGAGTCTACGCCACGATGCAACCAACAGTGATGCCGTGTCGGCCCTGGCTGGGCTCTACAGCGAGGCCGGACGCTCCACGGAGGCCGAGAGCCTCCACCTGGCACTGTTAGCTGCCCGGCCCTCAGACCCGGTGGTCCACAACAACTACGCCGCCTTCCTCCAGAAGATCGGTGAGTCCATCTTGCCGCCGCAACCCCCACCTCTCCTGTAGAGGAATAGTAAGTGCCTCCACTCCCTTATTTCCAACCCTTACTCCGAATGGACGGTACGTTTCAATACTAAACGTAATAAGTACATTCCTGACTGTCTGCATAGCATATATATACTTAATTGTGCTGTTACATTTACCTACCCATATATTCTCATTTTCTGTTAATACACTCAAAATTTATAGGATGAAGTTTTCGTATTCAATTCTATATATATAAGTTTTAAATATAAAGATTTATTTTTCAGTTTTATAAAACAATAGAGATTTTATAAAAAAAATTAAAATATCCATCTTAAAATTATAAGATAACCTCAAGATATATCCTGAGTTACTTTATAATTTATTGAGAGACTTTTGTTTTGTTTTATAAAACTGTAATATCAATATAGCTATAGGTTAAGTACTAATTGTAGTTAAGAAGCAATAAATGTTATTTACATGCTTGTCCTTGTTTTACATGTTAAAGTGTATTTATGTACTATGCCGATAGTCAGGATTGTACTTATTAAATTTAGTATTAAAACGTACTGTCTATTCGGAGGAAGGGCTGCTTATTTCAGCAGACCAGTGAGCCTGTAACTTCCTTACTGCCAGGAATTGGTAAGTATGTGCACTTGTTATTAGAATCGATGTATAATAGGGTCGCCTACTACTACAATATAATGGGCAATGAAACAACCAATTATCAGTGAGAATAATCAAATTATGAGGCCTCCATGTTTCTGCAAACCTCCCACTTGGCTTTGGTTGTTATAACTACTGATGGCAAGTGACGTGTGTGTGTGCTTAAGGCGTCCTGCTGTGCTGCTGGCAATCTGGGTTAAATACGTTCCTTGTACACATACGATTACTCGCACTCCACATCTATACACGTGTATAAATGTTGATCTTTCTTCAATATATATAAAATAAATATGATAGGATACATGGAAAAAAACTCCAGAATTTTTCCAACTAGTGGACAATTGCACACCACTGGAGTCTATGTTTTCGGCTCACAATCGGGGATACAGAGTTCGATACCCGGACGGTAGAGAACAGGGAAACAGGGATGGTTTGGCATGTTTGCTTTCATCTGATGCGTCAGATCCCCTAGCAGTAAATAGGTGTCCGTAAGTTAGGTAACTGTTGTGTGTGGCATCCTTGCAAAGATCAGTAATTCGACCAATGGGAGATCTCAGTATAAATTAACTTAAAGTACAGGCTTCCAGTCCCCGGAAAAAGGAATTATATGACTCGACTCCACCCACAAGACATTAAAGGCTTCTCACGTATTTTTTTTTTAATTTCTTAATATTACTAAGAAGTCTCTCTCTCACACACACACACACACACACACACACACACACACACACACACACACACACACACACACACACACACACACACACACACACACCATTGAAACAGAGGATGATAGTACGAGGCTACAAGATGACCTAGACAAACTGAGTGAATGGTCCAACAAATGGTTGTTCAAGTTAAACCCGAGTAAATGTAAAGTAATGAAACTAGGCGGTGGAAACAGGAGGCCAGACACAGGATACAGAATAGGAGATGAAGTACTTAATGAAACGGACATAGAGAAATATCTACGAGTTGATATCACACCAAACCTGTCTCCTGATGCCCACATGAAAAGAATAACGTCTGCAGCATATGCAAAGCTGGCTAACATCAGAACAGCGTTCAGGAACCTGTGTAAGAATCATTCAGAATCTTGTACACCACATATGTAAGACCAATCCTGGAGTATGCGGCCCCAGCATGGAGCCCGTACCTGGTCAAGCACAAGACGAAGCTGGAACAAGTTCAAAGGTATGTCACTAGACTAATCCAAGAACTAAGAGGCATGAGTTACGAGGAAAGGCTACGGGAAAAGCACCTTACGACATTGGAAGACAGAAGAGTAAGGGGAGACATGATCACAACCTACAAAATCCTCAGGGGAATCGACCGGGTAGACAAGGATAAACTATTCAACACTGGTGGTACGCGAACAAGGGGACACAAGAGGAAACTGAGTACCCGCATGAGCCACTGGGACATTAGAAAGAACTTTTTCAGTGTCAGAGTAGTTAATGGATAGAATGCATTAGGCAGTGATGTGGTGTAGGCTGACTCATACACAGTTTAAAATGTAGATATGATAGAGCCCAGTAGGCTCAGGAATCTGTACACCAGTTGATCGACAGTTGAGAGGCGGGACCAAAGAGCCAAAGCTCAACCCCCGCAAGCACAAATAGGTGAGTACAAATAGGTTAGTACACACACACACATGTATAGATGTGGAGTGCGAGTAATCGTATGTGTACAAGGAACGTATTTAACCCAGTTTGCAGGCAGCAACACGGGTTCTGGAAAGGGAAATCGTGCCTAACTAACCTTTTCGAATTCTATGATAAAATTACAAGGATAAGACAGGACAGAGAAGGTTGGGCAGACTGCATATTTCTGGACTGCCAAAAAGCCTTTGATACAGTACCGCACATGAGACTGCTGTTCAAACTCGAGAGGCAGGCGGGGGTGGGAAGAAAGGCCCTAGCATGGATAAGGAACTACCTAACAGGAAGCAGCCAAAGAGTTACGGTAAGGGGTGAGAAGTCGGACTGGCGAACAGTAACAAGTGGAGTACCACAAGGATCGGTGCTGGGACCAATTCTATTTCTAATATATGTTAACGACAAGTTTACAGGAGTAGAGTTCTACATGTCGATGTTTGCGGATGACGCAAAGTTGATGAGAAGAGTTGTGACAGATGAGGATTGCAGGATCCTCCAAGAGGACCTGAACAGGTTGCAGAGATGATCAGAGAAATGGCTACTGGAGTTCAACACGAGCAAATGTAAAATTATGGAAATGGGACTAGGAGATAGGAGACCAAAGGGACAGTACACAATGAATGGGAACTGCCTACCTGTAACGACGCGAGAAAGAGACCTAGGCGTGGACGTAACACTTAATCTATCTCCTGAACCACATATAAATAGGATAATGACACCAGCGTTCTCTACATTGGCAAAAGTTAGAACATCATTAAGAAACCTTAGTAAGGAGGCATTTAGGGCGCTTTACACTGCCTACGTGAGGCCAGTCTTAGAGTATGCCGCCTCATCATGGAGTCCACATCTGAAGAAACATATAAGAAAACTGGAATAGGTTCAGAGGTTTGTAACGAGACTCGTCCCAGAGTTACGAGGGATGGGGTATGAAGAGCGCCAGAAGGAACTGTGCCTTACGACACTTGAATAAAGAAGGGAGAGAGGGGGGACATGATAGGAACGTATACAATACTCAGGGGGATTGACAGAGTGGACAGAGACGAAATGTTCACATGGAATAGTAACAGAACGAGGGGACATGGGTGGAAGCTGGAAACTCATGAGTCACAGAGATGTTAAGAAGTTTTCTATTAGCGTGAGAGTAGTGGTAAAATGGTATGCACTTAAGGAACAGGTTGTGGAAGCAAATACTATTCATAATTGTAAAATTAGGTATGTTAGGGAAACAGGACCGGGGTCATTGCTGTAAACACCCGATGCTCGAAAGACGGGATCCAAGAGTCAATGCTCGATCCTACAGACACAAATAGGTGAGTACACACACACACACACACACACCCTTAATGTCACTCAAGACTCGCTATACAGGTGATCATAATACATTACCCATTCATCATATATACAATTATGCCTTTAAACAACAAACATGCATACAAGTAACACACACAAATCACAATAGTGTGATGCATCAAATGAACAAATCCACAAGGGTCGTGACGAGGGTTGGAACATACGTTCATTTGCAGATTACGTCGGTTGCAATTCTTTTGACCATGACGTAGCTTAGTCGATCAAGGCGCGTCTGGGATCCTCTCGGACGTAAGTTCGAACCCTCGTCACGGCCCTTGTGGATTTGTTCATGCATACAAGACTTTACGTAAACAATGAACTTGCGACCAACAAGCAGCAGCACAAGAATATTCTCGTCTGATTAGATTAGATTCAAGCTAAAATATTTTGTGTTCAGAGAGCCATTAATTAATCTTGATTTTATCGTTAAGTATAAAATTTTGTTCGAGGTTCAATCACATTTATTTCCACCATTACATAAAGTTATTACGGGGCAGCTAATGGTCGCGATACACAGTATTTGAAGAGCTTTACTGTGCCTCCCCCCCCCCGGGCCCTCCCTACTGTACCCCCTTCCATGTGGGGGCCCCTTACCCCCCACTCCCCTCCCTGTCGTATAGGTCTGCCCCTAACTCCCCTGACAACTGAGTGGACAGCACTCGGGATTCGTGGTCCTGAGGATCCGGGTTCGATCCCCGGTGGAGGCGGAAACAAATTGGCAGTTTCTTTTACCCTGATGCCCCCTGTTCATCTAGCAGTAAATAGGTACTTGTTAGTTAGACAGCTGCTACGGGCTGCTTCCTGGGGGTGTGTAACAAAAAGAAGGCCTGGTCGAGGACCGGGCCGCGGGGGACGCTAAGCCCCGAAATTATCTCAAGATAACCTCAAGATTAACCCCCACTGGAGCCCCCCTACCCACCACTCCCTGCCCTACAGGTGGGGCCCCTAACCGCCCCACGTTGGACGTGCTCCCCCATCGTCCACTCTCTGGCTTGCTCAGCGGGGCCTCCACCTCTCCTTCCCTCCCTGGTGGTCTGAATGATTATTATTTTGCAAATCTCTGCCCTGGGGCCTGAACGCGTTCAGACCTCCGCGCCATGCACGACTAGCGCCTGTGAGCGCTATCATCATCTGGCCGGCTGAAGATCGTGTCTGGCGATGTGCAGCTGCATCTTTGATAGTCAGGGGCCGCTGGGGACAAGTTGGTCGGGAGATGAAAGATGAAGCAAGCCGTCAGTGGCAGAGAACACCACCCCGGTCACCGCCGCCTTGGCAATGTATTGTGTGATATAACAATATATTCGTGGTGGGAGAGGCCCCGCCCCAC